TTAACCCAATTTCAGAAGTTTCTGCAATCTCTTTAAATGTTTCCTTTGTTTGATGCCAATGATTTGACCCTTCTCAAACAGACTGACATCTTTTCCACGACCACGCGATGTGTCTTTCAACATGGTTGTTTAAGAAATGAGAAGCAACTCATTGCACAAGTTGGGGTTAAATAACTTGTTGCAGCTGAAAGATAATCGCCCGTGCAGTAATTATCCAATAGGAGGCTCGTACCTATTTGCTCAGTTAAATCCAGGTGGTGACTTTTTTTTTGGCCAGGCAGTGTACAAGAGCAGATTTGTTTCTCCCCTAACAGATGTAATTGTGCTCAAAACATCCAGAAGAGCACAATATATTTTCCATACAAATTAACAGTTTGGAAACTCAAAGCAGTGATTAACACTAAGCAGTTGTGTGCCATTTGAGAATGTTTTGCAATCCTGCAGATGGACAAAAACTTCTGGTTTTAGTCTTTCAAGTAAACCAACTTTAAATCTCCTTCACCATATTAAAAAAAATGTGCTGGCGCTTCAAAGTCTTATAATTTTACTTTCACAATAGTCTTGCTAGATACTAATTGGTGCAATAAAATGAAAAGTAATAGAAGGCACTATGAGGAGATGTGTTTTTATATTCTTTGTTTTTGTCTTGTGATTTTTTTTTAAAGAATGTTTCCAGAAGCTTTTAAAAATGATTTGTTCTTTCCTCGTACTTTCTAAGAAACCTGTTGACTAAGGTGCCTTGAAAGCTTTTGTGAGTGGACTTGGGCAGCACACTAGTCAAGTGTGTGAAGTGTAATTGTGCATTATGTTTGACAAGTGATACTAACAGTTGAAGAAATGTCTTTAAAAAAAAACACATCTCTGGCATGTGACAGAACACTGAGATAGACAAGCACACAGGTCAAATCAGTTTTGCTTGCAATGCAGGCAGCAAATTGGCAAATAAAGAAGTGCGGCTCTCTGTGCTCTGTGGTATTATCCTTGACAGAAGAGTGGAGGAAATAAAAACATGGAAGATAAAGCATTACTCTCGCCAGTCCCTCCAGATTGGGGCAACATTTTCAGACAACATGACGTCTGGCAATTGGCTGTTTGTCTCTAACCTCTGAGGAAGGATTTCATTGGTTGCAGAGGGCAGGGGAGACTGCTCTCTGCTTTCCTATTTACAGCACATGAGCATTGCGGGTAAAAGAGTGAGGGAGGAAAATCGCAGCAGATTACCGTGCCAATTTCACATGGAAGCAGAAGAGCTCTGGAAAGGATAGATAAGGAAATTCCTATCAAACTGCTGCCAGCCAAATGTGTATCCAGTAGCAATAAACCATACAAACATTAACCCCCAAATAGTGACGGAGGAGGTTTCACGTAGCGTGGATGTCGTATTTTTAGTTCAGATGGTGATAATTACCATCTATTCACCACAGGCTGCTGGGGTAAAAATCACTATTAGAACCGCCACCAGCCCATGGACATAATGACATGCACACCTACACAGGTGTACACACAGGGCGCTCATGAAACTTACATGCCTGGAAACAATGGCTGCAGGTTATGATTGCGCCTCAGAAATGCTGAGTCATTTCATACAAGGCTCACACAATTTAAAACAAATAGCAATGGAAAAAACAGCACCAGAAATAGAGTTTGTCAAGACATGCAAACACAAACACACAGAAGCATATATGAAGACGTTGGAAATACAAATACACTAAAAACATATAGTATATAAACATTCAGCTGTTCAATTTCAAAAAAAAAAAAAGTGAAGAAGAAGTTAAGCAATGCACATGTACAAACCTCCTAAAATTCCAAAATCACTTTGTAAAAACAAAAAAAAATACAGTCAAGAGAATCAAAAATGTTAAAACTTCTGCCAGTGGTTCAATATGGTAACCATGTTAATCACATACTGGTGTCTGTCATTCCCTGACTGCCAAGTTAATGAGAGACAGACAAAAGCAGACTGAAAAGTGAGTCTCAGACAAACAGTCGCTGGTAAAAATAAAAAAAAGTCCAATCCTAAAAGATTTTCAAAAGTGAGGGGCAAGAAACTGTTGATCACACAGATTTTTATGTTTCTACAGGGTTTTACGCAGAAAATATGGCAAGTTCAAAAGACTCTTGTTTTAAATATACTGAAACATTTCTAGTTTTGAGGAGAAAAAAAAGCATCAGAGAATAAATATAATTTTGTCAACAGTGTGTGACAAATTGCAACCAAATGTCATAGCACATTATTCCAGAATGAGTTTCATGTTCTGGTGTAAAATGTGCGTATTTAATTTAAAAACTGTGTGATGAGATACAGGACAAAATGTTTGAGCAGAATAGTAGTAAGATGATGTTTACACACTTGCATCCATAATGAGCTAAAGCTATTTTCTAATGATTATTGCCAATGTTTTAAATTATCAAAACTTGACTGAGAGCCATGCATCAGAATCTTATTATGATTTTAGGATTCTACCGAGTTGTCAAGACACTTCATTATTGCATTAATATTATCATATTATAACAGAAGTATTTGTTTTTCTGTGTGCTCAGATGAGTATGACTAATGACAAATTTTGGGTTTGTGATTTGATGTGCACCACGACATTTTCGACCTGGTACCCAGCCCTTAAACTGTGATGCAGAACCTCCTCATTGAGATTTCTTATCCAAACATGTACCATTACACTGGTTACACACCATGCCAACAAGCTTAATGATTGTGAATGCATGTGTATGTTCTCCTCTGGTAGCCTTCTCTCCTTGATTCCTTGCCACTTACTTCTCATTTATTTGTTCATAGAGATAGGGCACATAATAATAGCATACTAGTGCAGTATATTTATTTAAAAAAAAACATTGTATCTCATTCTCTGCATATTACAAGGATACATTTGTAAATAATAACTCTTTTTTTTAAATGTGTATAGTAGCTCACTTTTCTTTCATTATAATAATTTGACAACTGAACATGAATAAATTACTGGAAAACATAGACTTATGTTATGTTAAGTGATGTTTTATATGCAGTCAGTAGTCTTGCATGTAAGTGCTGTGTATTTTGACTTCACATGCAGATTATGACTACCACATTCAGTGTAATAACTGTTTGTTTTGTGTTTTGTTCTTGTTTTTCTTGTGATTGTAAAGTAAGTAGCCTACCTGGTATGTAACAATACATAAATGCAAATATTTTGTGGCCAAAGGTGTACAGTAGTCCCTCATTTATCGCGGGGGATCCGTACCCTGAAGCCCTTTACACACACACACACACACACACACACACACACACACACGCACACGCACACGCACACGCACACACACACACACACACACACACAC